CCCGCTCCATAGGGGCCGTCACAATGAAGACAACTAAAAACATGGGCTGGCTTTATACACGATCGCAGAGCCATTAGGTCAGCCCTCTCTGCAGAGCCTGGCAGCATGTTCCTCCCTCGAAATGCCGAGAGCAGTCTTCCTCAGCAAGAGCAGGTGTCACCGAGGCCCATCTGCTCTTTGCTGGTAACTTCTTCAACACCCTCTCTGTGGGACACAGCTCCCAGTCCCTCCCTCCCTCCCCAAGGCAAGAGTGGAGGGCAGCCCACAGAGCATCAAATACTCTGCACATAAGTCCCCCTCCACCACCACGCCTTTCTTTTCCCCAGATCCAGACCACCCAGGGACTAGCCTGCAGCTCCTTCCAGGCTACGTTTCATTCCAGCCCGTGTGGTTCTGTCCTACGCACAGTATTACCCAAAACATTCAAGTTTGTGGGAATGATTTCATATCTGCTAAAAAGGTCTCTTCAACTGCCCACATTGCATGTGAAAGCTGGACAACGAAAAAGGAAAACCAAGGAATGGACGCATTTAAATTGTAGCGCTGCCAGAAGGAGGAACAAATTTGTCTTAGAAGAAATAAAGCCAGAATGCTAACTTCTTCTCACGTACTATGGACATATTATTAGGAAGGACCAAATCCTGGAGAAGGACATCATGCTTGATTAATATGGAGAGTCAGCAGAAAAGAGAAAAGCCTTCAATAAGATGGACTTTTACACAGTGGCTGCAACAATGAGCTCCAACGTTACAATGATTTGAGACAATGGCGCAGAACTGGGCAGTGTTCTCTTCTGCTGCATGTAAGTGAGTTGGAGAGGACTCAACAACAACATGTGGACCTGAGGTAAAGTCCTAGAAGGAATATTTAGTGTGTTGTGCATGTGGTCACTATGAGTCAGGGTCAACAAAATGGTACCTAATAACACCATATCATGCTAACTGAAAGGTTGGTGGTTCAAATCCACTGGCTGCTCTGTGGGAGAAAAGATTTGGCAGTTTGTCTCTGTAAAGATTATTGCCTTGAAAACCCTATGGGGGCAGTTCCATAGGCTCTTATAGGGGCATTATAAGTTTATGGGGGAGTTCCTAGCTGGAGTTGCCTCTTTACACACTGAATGAAAATGAGACTTGATTTCTCTTGCTACATTTGCAAACAAGGAGGGGGGGACCACTGTCATCTGAGACGATAACGGTTGCGTAAAGGAGTGTATCATACTTGTAGCTAAAACCTCCTAAGTGACGCAACCGATACTGGGGGATGTGATGAAGAATGGGGTGGGGAGAGAGAGCATCAAACTGTCTAACTGCAGGGGGAAATAAAGTCCCCTCTCAACCCCCACCCTCCGCAACCTTTACACCAATTCCAACATCAGCCAACCCTCTCACAGCATGCTACACTTAACTGCTGGGTTTGATCATCTCCAGCTGTACCCAGGCAGAACCCAACACTCATACTGACATGGTTGTACAGGCTCAACTCAAGCTCAAGAGGCATGGAGGCAAAGTCACCCTGTTTCAGGACAGGGAAGCACTCTTGGCTCCTCTCGGCCCCGCTAAGGGCAAGTTCTGCTGGACTTTGACCTGTATCACCACCAAGTCTGCAGCTGGGCCCCTGCCAGGCCTTCGGTACCTTCACTGCTACAGCCTTTGCTCTGCACACCATCTCTTTCAAGAGCGGCCTTCCTCCTTTTTCTCTTGCCTGTTCTTTCTGCTTCTTCCTAATTCTGAAAACCTCTGTGGGCTCAGCTGTATCATAAACACAACTCCCTGTCAATTTCAAGGCATGGATCCTCCCAGTGGGGGCAGGGACACAATTGGACCTATCAATTCCCTCTTGGCAACATACACTTCATTTGCATAGTAGGCTATGGTCACCTAATTTACATAGCCCCTGCAAGATGCCTACCAATCCAAAGGAAAGCAAGAAAAACAAAACAAAATTGTTTGCAGTTTACCCAGAAGCTGTCAATCAATCCGACAAAAGCAACAAACTATCTGGGACAGAAATTAGGGCAAAGGTAACTCCTCAGAGTTTAGGAGGGACTGTCTTACTGTCTTCCCTAAGAGCCAAGGCAAAAGGCCAGAGAAAGGAACTCATTTCTGTCACGCAAAAAGCACGGGGAGACGGCGAGCTGGTGGCTTGGACGCAGACTTGCTTCTGCAATTGTGCCGTTTGGTGGTTTAAATTATACATATGCCTGAGTGTTTGCAGGGGGAGGGGGGGAAGAGCTACAATCAATAGAGAGAAATACTGTTAACTGATGGTACATGGAGGGGATTATAACCATTGTAATGATACAAAGTATATGATTTTTTGAATCATATACTTTGACCTGCCCTGTAAACTTTCACTCAATTCACAGTAAAAACTTAAAAACAAAATAAAAGCAGGGGCGTGGGCGTGGGTAGGGGTGGAATAGGAGTGGATGCCAGGAAAGAAAGGGGGAGCACCATCAGAAAGATAAGCACTGCCTTCAGAACTGTTTCTCTCTGAAGGTGGGTGGGTACAGGACATTACTTCACTTCATTAATGCCATTGTGTGTGTATATTAAGATATTAAGTGTTGTCTATTTTATCATGCCACACCTACTAAGATGGCTATGTCTTTAGAGAAAAAAAAAAGCAAGGCTGTGGAGAAATTGGAACCCTCACCCATTGCTGTTGGAACTGTAAGATGGTATAGTCTCCGTGGAAAACAAACAGATTGATGGTTCCTCAAAAAAGTGAACACAAGACCCCACAACCCCATTCTTCGCTGTCAGCCCATCAGTGAAAGAAGAAGCTCACATGGAAACCTACACGTACATCACTGTTCTCTGCAGCATAGCCAAATGGTAGAACTAACCCAAGGATCTGTCAGAACCTAACTTCAGGGAAGCGAATGCTCAGGGCGGATGGATGGATGGATGGATGGACAAAAGGTAGTACACGTGTATAAGGGGAGGTTCATCAGCCACACAGCAAAACAGATTAACACGCTGTTGAGTGAAGTAAATCAGTCACAAAAAGACAGATATTGTATGATCCCCCTTAAATATCTAGAGTAGACAAGTGTATCAGTGGTTTCCAGGGGTACTGAGCTTCTGTTAAAGGTGATGAGGAAACCTGGGAATGGTTTCCTCATGACAAAGGTGACTGATGTCACTGGAACTGTAAATGTAACAATTGTTGCAATGCATAATGTTTTGTTACCTATATACATTTAACACAATAAATTTTTTAAAAAATCAATGCTTTTTAAAAAGAACCAAGTCTCCTAAGTACCAGCAGTCTCCAGGTTGAGAACGAGACCCTGTGTCTTGAAATCAAATTTGTAGGTAAGTCAGAACAGGTGCGCGGGGTTCTCACTTAGCAGTATTTCAGCAGAAGTAAAGGCTCAAAGTCTTTCCGATGGTTGAAAAGCAGCTCGTGTAGCAAATGAAGGGGACTGTGATGGAGACGCACAGTGCGGGCAAATTTACACAACATAATGGGTCATGTGAGAGTTCGAACTGCACGAGTGCTTGATTATAAAAAAGCATCCCACTAAGTTGCATTTAGGGTCTACTGTTGGGGACAAGCCCAATATTCTGCACTGAGGGAACCAAGGCTTGGTTCTGTCACATGACTTATTCCTGGAATGGTCCTGATCAGTGTCAAAGGAGGACCCTGTCCCCCAAGAATAGCAGCGGACTCACACAAGGTCCACACTGTGAATAAGGAACACAGGTGCTTGTCTGCTACCCTAAGCCGCTTGGTCCTAATCCACAGTGCTGGAGAACTAGAATTATCTCTGGACTTGAGGGAATTTGCTAGGGCCTCTGTATAAAGGATGGGAGCTCAATCACTGGGGGTGGGCGAGACATCCGTCCAGGTGCCAAGTCTAACACCCCAAAACCTTCCCTCTGCCCCAGGCCAAGAACACAAGCTGCGTCCAGTTTTCCACCTTCATCATGAAGCTAACTTCAATCTGATCATCTCAACAAAGACATCATAGAGGGAGAAAATTACCTGCGGCATTCCACACCTGGCGTGGAATGTCCCAGACCCTTCTCTCCTCCCTCTGAATACTCTTCACAACACTGTTTTCACCACAAGACCAGAGGAAGCGATGGTACCCAGCTACCACAGCTGAACATTTTGATCAGAGTTTTGAACTGGTTCGAACTGGCCCAGTCTTCATCAACAAAGCAATCAGGGCAGAACTGAATTTGAAAACTGTGGGTCTATCAGAATGAGAAAAACTATGGCGGAAGCTCTGGAATGGGAGACTCAGAAAAGGTGTAGTGAGTCCTTTCAGTAGCCTGAGTGGGACAGAGAATTATTGCTCAGACTGTATAGAACATACACTCAGAGTGGGGTGGCCAGTTGCCATCTCAGAGCTGGGCACTGCTGTTTCTGACTCTGCTTATCAAGAGATTAGGTTGATATGCAACATGCATGCTTCCTTTTTCGAAGAGATTTCATTTCGGGCAGGGGACTGACCTACAATTTTTCCCACCCTGGTTATCATTCTGGCACACCCACATTTTACAAATTCGGGTCCATTCCAGTTTCACTTTGTTAGCATGACTGAACCAGGAAGATCCAGTCTGCAGCCCTGGTTTTGATCACAGATTCGATAAAAGAATCATGATGGGGGATATGTAGACCAGAATTTCAAACACTTATAGACTCTAGACATTCTTAAAAACTCTCTCTATGGGTCCCCATTGACAACAGCAGCTGGAAAGGGTAACTGAGGAACGCAGGGGCAGTAAGTTTATGTTCACAGGAGAGGAGCAATTTGGAGAAGGAGGATGAGAATGGCTGTAGAACTTGAAGAATACCATCAAAGGCACCGAACATGCTGAAGCTGCTTTATTAGCCTATGTTCTGTGTACATGTTTAACACCAAAACAAGCAAATAAAACAGGCATGTTCTTAGCTTCTCCTTTGCTATAGCCTGTTTTTTTTTTTTTTATACTAACATTGCATGCAGAAGAGAAATTGACAGCTGACAAAAGCCAGTCGTTTACCTGACTCCTGGAGATATCGATACACCAAGAAGTTCACCTCATCACTGGTTATGCTCATCTTAGCCTCACCTCACGGCGATGAGGTCTTTACGAAGCGGGAGCCACCCTCTGCAGGAACGAGAGAGGAAAATCAGGAACAGAGTTTGCATACACTGCTGAGCATATATGTATTACTTCATTCATTTTTGAAACAATTACCTGTAAGAGTACACATGAAGGTAAATAGTGTCTGATTTGAGTTACTTTGTATAAGTATATAAACCGCTTACAGAGTCAACACAGAAACTCACACACACAGATTAAAATGCTTCCCAGAGAAGACAACATGGAGCAGCATTTGAGGAGACCTCATTAGAGTAAGCTCTATCCTGAAGCCGTGGATTTTATGCAGGGACAGTGGGATTCTGAAATATATGGCCACAGAGGTGGCAAGTTAAGATGCTTGGCAGTTGTGCCCCTGGCTGGAGAAGCTGAGGAAGGAGACCAGAGCTATGTCTGTATCCCCTACTAAGCAGGTAACCACATGGCCCGGGTCCTACCCATGGTCCCGGAGACAGGATTCATCATCCCCCCTTTTCCTTGCAGACAGTTCTGGATTGAAGCCATTTCTGATAGGACCTAAGCAGCCCCAAGAAGAGACATCATTCAGGGGCTCAGTTAGTGCTCCTTTGCATACCAGCTCTTCTCTGTACAGTCTGGAAACACTGTGTGTGAGCACATACACACATACACACACTAAGGGGCTTAACAAAGTCCATGAAAAATGGAATGGAGAGATAATGCAATTTTCCCACAGAACTTTCTGAAGCCCCCTTGTATGTATACATATATTTATACACACACACATATTCATTTTAAATATATCAATTTTTGAGATGATTGAAGAACGAAACACCCAGGATAATGTTATACACACGCAGGTAAATGATGTCTGATTAGCACTGCATTTTTATAATGATGTGGTTATATAAACATTTGACAATTAGATTAACTACACACCTACCCCACTGGAGGAGGTGAAAACACACACCAAGATATTCCCAACAGAAGACAAGGCATCAACAGCTACGATTTCCAACTTCTAGAACTGAGAAACCCACGACAGCCCAATGGGACAGCCCAAGGGAGAGAGTGAGGACAGTGGACGCCGCGTCTGGGTCTGAAGCCCCTGGGGTGCAGACAGCTAAGTATGAGAATGCTAACCAAAAGGGTGGAGGCTTGAGTCCACCACAGGTGCCTTGAATAAAAATCGGGTGATCTACCTTGACTGAAATCAGTCATAAAAAACCACCTGGAGCAAAAAAAAAAAACAAAAACCAACCCTCTGGAGCACAGCTCTATTCTGATACACGTGGGCTGGCCACGAGTCAGAATCAGCTCAATGGTAAACAACAGCTGGGCCTGAGGAACACGTCTGGCGTCCCTGTGCAAAGGGTTCACCAAAAAGGTCACCGGGAATTTTAATCACTGTCATGAAACTAAGTGTGTCTAAACTGCAAAATGGAAAGATAAGAGAACAAAACAAAATAAACAAAAAGGTTGGTGGTTAGCCTCCACCCACAGGCACCTCTGAAGAAAGGCTTGGCCATCTACTTCCAAACCATGAGCCACTGGAAACCCTGTGGAGCACAGTTGTACTCAGAAAATGCATGGGGTGGCAAGACAGTTATCCGCCTGGCATGAGGGGGTGGTTGTGAGGATGAATGCATTTGTTTAAATATTCAGAGCAAGGCCCAGCACAGACTAAACCGCTAATCCATCCTAGCTCTCCTTCAGCTAGTGCTGAGACTACCACACAGGCCTGGGCACACACACTCCCCCAGAGCCCAGCGACGGGGTTCGTCTCGTAACAGAGTCTGGGATTTCAGGCACGCAAGTTGTAGAAGAAGGCGTGTGAGGGAGGTGTGCGTTGGAACTCTGCTCCTTCAAACACTCTGCTCCCAGGATGGGGATCTCAGCGCTCAGCCCTCAGCCTGTGTCCTGAGCATTTCAACCAGACCTGTCTAGATCAGAAGGGAGGGCACCTTGAGGCAGGAGAGCTCCTCCTTGGTGCCCAGCCGAAGGAAAGAAGGGGGCTTAACGGGTGCAAATGTGTTTATTTTCTTTCCTGCCCCAGCTGTGACGAAAGGCACCTTCAAGTAAGCTGCTCTGAGGTCTCTGGAGCTGTGGCTGGCTGCAGGCAAAGGAAATGCCCGCTGCCTTCCACCACCTGCCCTTCCACTGAAGAGTCACAGTGGAGACACTGTCCCATATCTGCACTGCTCAGTGAGGGTGACCAGGATGGTCCCTTGGGTGACGATCTCACTGGACCTTCCTGGGAAAGGAGGGCAACTGTGAACACATGCTGTCTCTGAGTTTCCTGTCCTTCTGATCTCCCTGGGGGAATGAATTCGCACCAATCACTCTCTGGGATCACTCTGGGAAGGGAGAGTGATCCCACAGTTGTAACCACGGTGTCACTCCATCTCGTTGAGGTTCTTTATCTTTATCATGGACCTTCTGCTTTAGCAAGCTTGATATCCTTCTCCAGGGCCTATTGACAGAATGCTCCAGGGGGATTCTGGCCAAATTTCTTCCAGGATGGATTTGTTTGTCCTTCTGGCAGTCCATGGGACATTCAATATACGTCACCAATAACTTGGTGTCTATTTAATCATCTTAAAAGACAGAATCACAAAAAAGCTTTGAGAGTTTGTACTGGGGGTCCCAGCAGCTGTGTTTCATTGCCTGGGGTGGGAAATGGCCCAGGATAGGGAGTTTATTTGCAGACCCATTGTGAGGAGCAGATTGGAATGTAGGTTCTCAGGCCATTTTACCTGAGCTCGTAGCTACAAATGATAAGCACTGGGCTGCCAACCACAGGGTTCGCGATTAGAACCTACCAACTGCTTCTTGGGAGGAAGATGAGGCTTTCTACTCCCTCGAAGATTTAAAGCCTTGGAAACCCTATACAGGGTTGCTATGAATCGGAACTGCCTTGAAGGCACTTACCACACACACACACACACAAAGTCAACAGACAAGGTGAAGATGTCTCTTAGCAGCAGAAGGGAAGAGCCCATGGTTAAGCACATGGTTGCTATTTAAAAGGTTGATGGTTCGAACCCACCCAATGGCTCCACAGGAGAAAGTTCTGTAACGATGACAGATAACTCTATGGGGCAGTTCTACTGTAACACTTAGGGTCAGCAAGATTTGGAATCAACTTGATGGCACACAGGACGGCCACCACAACCACTGGAGAAAAGCCATGTTTCTGAATAACAAACACCGAACTTTACAATGATGGAAGGGAGCCCCGGGTGCACAGAGGAAGAAGGGAGCCCCGGGATCCACACTGTGCTCCTAACCACCAGGCACCTTTCCGTTCTCTTACAAAGTGTACCAATTACCAGAAGACCTTTTCAGACCTTTGAAAGCAGTCCTTGTCGCTCTTCTTAGCTCTGCTCTAAGCCTGCTGGCTTTTGTGCTGGAGGAGTCCATAGTGTATAATTTACAGTAAGAAAATTTTTCCAAAAAAGGAAAACATTTTCACAGTTATTTATTTGTGGTCAAATGGTATAAGACCCTGAGATGGTACAAACAGTCAAGTGCTTGGCAGGTAACTGAAAGGTTCATGGTTCAAATCCACCCAGTGGAACCTCAGAAGAAAGCTCTACAGAACAGCTTCACAAAGTTCTTAGGAAAATTCCATTATCTGAAAATTCCATTATCTTTCTACGCCATCTTCCATGAACTTTCTGATAATGGAATTAGGGGAATATTTCTTTTTTTTTTTTTTTTTTTAACAGAGTTTAAATAATGTTAAGTGTCTGTCCTTCTTTAGAGGTGGCACAGTGCTGGGTTCTGGGTGCCCATTTGTACCTTTCTGTATTTTCCAAGTTTCCTACTGGGGACACAAATTGTTTCCACTGTCATTAAAACGTACTAAAAGCTGAGCAGAGACTTAAGGTATAATCCCCATAAGCAGGATGCAGAGCCCCTAAGCCGGAAAGGCGGCCACAGGGGAGTGGCCAGGGTCTTATGTCAGAACCAGAAGGCATGTAACAGTCCCCCTGGTGAGGCCCCAGAAAGGACCCATCTGGGCCCAGGCTGCCCTTGTGCTTGGGTGAGGCCCCAAACAGCCAGTCAGAATACACTTAGGTGTGATCACTGAGGGGACCTGGGCTGGTAGGGGAATCGGGGAAAGAGGAGGTGGGATGTTTACACAACATGACGAAGGGATATCAATGCCACTGGAGTGCTTGGTGAGATCTGCAGAAACCAGAAACCTGTCAAAGAAGGAAAACGCAAATATTTCCTATCTTTTAATTTTATTATTATTTTTAAAATTTTTATTGCGAAAAGGGGGGATAGTTCACACAACAGATCAACTTTCCATTCAACAATACAGACGCATTTTGTTTCATGCTCAAATATTCCCCACAACAACAGAAAAGGGCAGGAAAGACTTGTTGTTTGTTGTTAAGTGCCATGGAGTTGGTTGAGAGATGCCGAAGTTTGGCCATCTTGGCCTCTAAGGAGCACTCTGGCTGCACTTCTTCCAACACATATGAGTTTATTCTTTTGGCAGCCCATGGCACTTTCAATATTCTCCTCCAACACCGTAACTCAAAAGCATCAATTCTTCTACGTTCTTCCTTATTCACCGTCCAGCTTTCACATCATATGAGGTTATTGAAAATACTATGGCTTGGGTCAGGCGCACCTTAGTCCTCAAGCTGACATCTTTTCTCTTCAACACTTTAAAAAGGTCTTGTGCGGCAGATTTGTCTAATGCAATACATCGTCTGTTTCCTGACTGCTGCTTCTGTGAGTGTTGATAGTTGATCCAAGAAGAATGAAGTCCTTGAAAACTTCAATCTTTTCTCTTTTGATAAGAATGTTGTTTATTGGTCCAGTGGTGAGGATTTTTGTTTTCTTGACATTGAGATGTAATCCATAACGAAAGCTCTGCTCTTTGATCTTCATCAGTAAATGTTTTAAGCCCTCTTCACTTTCAGCAAGCAATGCTGTATTATCTGCATAACACAGGTTGTTAATGAGTCTTCTTCCAATCCTGATGCCACGTTTTTGTTCATCCAACCCAGCTTCTTGGATTAT